CTTGATTCCTAAATAAATAGTATAGTCATTTTCTTTTCAATGGTGACCTCTATAATTAAGGGCTGAAGTTCCCAGGTTTATGTGCAAGTCGGCAGTAGAGGGAGTCAGAACATGGCCAGTTATCTTCAGTGGTCAGTGTGGGAGCGGAGCAGGTAACGCCGATAGATTTGGTTCCTGGGATGAACAGAAAGCTGGCTTAAAAGCAGCTCACTGTCATCTGTTTACGGACTTTAAACTAAAACTCTGGCCAGCAGTGTAATGAGTAAGTGAACAAACTGATGATGAATGAGCAACACAACAAGTCAGTTTAATCACTGAAGGTAATTGGCGGCATGAGAGCGATATGAGTAATCAGTGATCCAGCCAGACCACACCTAAAGGGAGCCAAAGGGGAAGAAACTAGCAGCGCAGGAAAAAAGGCGAAGAAGAGACAATAGAAAGGAGAGTGCTGCCAGACCCAAACATCCAGATGTTCAGGTCTTGGCAGTGCTTCTCGTGGTTTATGTGCAGACACAAATGTACAGTAGTCCCTCGCTACTTTGCAGTTCGACTTTTGCAGACGCGATCTTTTGCGGTTTTTCAAAGTAAGATTGGCTGATTGATGGATGAGCCACGGATTATTTATTGAAAATTAATTATTTTAAATGATTTAGCACCTGCTAAATCCTTAGGTCCAGGGCTCCCTCCTGCAGCCTGTCATGATCTCTGCTCTCTGCCACTTGCGGCTCTCTGCCACGCCCACATTTCTGCTCCGTGCTGCAGCGGCTTCATGAAAAAATAAAACAAAATCATGCTTTAGCATATTTCTTAGTTCATATCTTAGATCGTACTACTGTTTTTTTTTTACAATTTGTATTTTTGTTGGACGTAACTGGGACCCTTTCGTTCCACCACATGTACCACATGTGGTGTGAATGACATTAAAGACATCTTGACCTTGACCTTGAAGGGTTAACCCTTTGCTGTCCAGATGCACCGATCAACTTTTGTCTTACAAATTAAAATTAAAATTTTGTCACATCGTAAAATTGTCATAATCACAAAACATAAAAGTGTTAAAAAGTTATTTTTAATTATTTTAGGACTTCTATGTTCAGTTGTTGCAGTGTAATTGATCACTTCGCTGGCTCCCTGTTGCTGTTTGAGTGAAATTTAAAGTTTTATTGATTGGTTTTAAGTGTTTAAACTCCATGGCCCCATCTTACCTAAGCGAGCTGTTGCAGCCCTACACTCATCCAGAGCCCTGAGGTCAGCCGACCAGCTCTTGTTGGCTGTCCCTAAAGCGAGGGTGAAGACTAGAGGTGACGGAGCCTTCTCTGTGGCAGCACCCAGACTGTGGAACAGCCTCCTTCTGTCTGTGAAGCTCTCACTGTCAGTAGATCAGTTTAAGTCCAGACCGAAAACTCATCTATTCTCCCTGGCCTTCAACCTCAAATTAGGACCTGACTTATTTGAGTTTTGGGGAAATTGCAGCAAATATAAAATAGTTGGTCTTGTTTTTTTTATTAGTACAATTATTTTATTGGTATTTTACTGCAAATTTTATCATACTTTTATTTTTATTAAATTAAATGTTATGACGTTACATTTTTAGATGCAATGTTGTAATTCTTGTGAAGCACTTTGGTCAGTGTCAGTGTGTTTTTAAATGTGCTACATAAATAAACTGTGAATTGAATTGAACTGAAGAAGTACATTTCTGCTCCGTGCTCCATGCTGCAATTCAAATTCAAATTCAAAATTCAAAAATACTTTATTAATCCCAGAGGGAAATTATTTGTTGTTGTAACTCGTTATCCTCATTTCATTAAGAGATGTTATAGATGCTGATGGCTGTAGACAGGAAGGATCTCTTGTAAAGGTCCATCCCACAGTGGATCCTAAGAAACTGGCTGCAGATGCCGTCCGATCCGTCCACCCAGACTCGGCTGGCCTCTCGGTTCCCCCGGGCTGTAGGGCCGCCTGAATGCTGGGCAGAACTCCTCCCAGAGCGATGGCCACTCCTCCCAGCAGTCTGCCGAGCTCCTCGTCGCTGCGGACAGACAACTGTAGGTGCCGAGGGACGATCCTGTCCTTCTGCTGTCATGAGCCGTGTTTCCTGCTAGTTCCAGGATCTCTGTGGTCAGGTACTCGAGCACAGCTGGCAGGTAGATGAGAATGCATCCACAGAACATCCTTTTCAACTCATTTGAGATTTGGGGCTGTAGTTGAGATATTATTTGAGCTTTTGAGATGTTTATCAGCTACTGTTAGTTGTAGAAAACTGCCTTGTTGCCATGGTTACGCATCATAACAAATGTCCAAAACTAAAAAAGTTTCAGTAAAAATCCTTCCAGCTGCACAGCATCTGATACCAGAGGAAACAATCATCCAAAAAAATGTGATTTACATCCAGAAAAAGAGGAATTAAAGTTTCCAAAAGCAAAATCTCAGAATGAAAGTAACAGAGCTGCTCACACATGCAGCCACCTTGAGCGGCGCAATTCTAGAACATTGGAACTTGGAACTTGGAATTTGGAACCTGCACTTTTTGGGGAGTTTGTGGTGCAGAGGTTAGAGAAGATGGACCTGTGATCGCAAAGTTGCAGGTTCAACTCCCGGTACCGTCAACATCAATATGTTTGTGGAAAAGGTAAAACACCCAGACCTTGTCTCCACCTTCCTTTGCCCTGCTCTGGGCCCCTGAGCATGGCCCTTAACCCCCACCATCTGCTCACAAAAATCTTGTGACTCAATGACACTACCTGTATAAATAAATGGTAAATGAAAAAAACAACAACAAAAAAAAAAAACTTTGGTTGGATTTTATTGATGATAGAGCACTAAAAAAGAATAAAAAAACATTAGTCTGTGTCTCTCTTGTAAATGAGTCCTCGAGGCTCAATGGGATTAACCTGTCTAAATAAAGGTTGAATGAATGAATGAGTGATGAACAATAGGGCCCATTTTGAAGCAAAGTAGTCAGCTAAAATATTAAGTGTCAGAACAACTGTAAAAAAAAACCATCTTCAGACTGAGACCGGCTCTTTCAGACTCCAGCCGTGGCTGCAACCTTTATACAACCACCCCCCACCCCCCCTTTGCACCACAGTTCCATCTGATAAATGAAGCAAAGCATCAGTTTTTAGGAACTTCACCCACACAAAGCTTTAGCAGCACATTATACCTCCCTCTCATTTATCTTCACTGACTCCCCGTCAAGTCACAAATCCATAAATGAATCTCCTCCACGTTATCTATGAATCCCAACCTGCCACCTTGTACTTGTCAGATCTTCACTCATCATCTGTGGTTTTCAGACATGTCTGCTCATCATCTCCCACACCAGCCTCAGGTCCTTCAGAGACACTTCAGTGTGGGAGTTGCCCTCAGTCTGTGCCTGACTCCTAAAATGCCACTACTATCAGGATCTCTGAGAAAATATCCTAAAAAGTAGCCAAGTTAATGCTTTTCTCCTGCAAATTTTGTCTCTACAAATATCTCGTACTATGAAAATGCAGACAAAAAAAAAAAAAAAAGCATTGTTGTTGTGCTATAAATGTCGGTGTGGACAACCTTTAAAACAATAAAAAATATTGTTGAAGAAAAGCAGTGGAAAGATAATCAGGAAACAATGAAGAGTTACAACAAGGAATTGCATGAATATTGAGAGGTTACTGTGCTGCATGAAATTTGAAAAAACAAGGTACTTTGTATCAGTCAAAATTAAATTCCCTCAGACCAAAGGAAAGTAGGCTGGACCAACAACACCACCTTGTGGTCATAAACTGCAGCTACAGTTTAATTTTTATTTTTATTTAGCTGAAGTTCACTCACTCAACCAATAATTCTGTCAGGTCATCTTGATACCTGGATGACTGAACATGAACTTTGTTCACTCACTCAACAGCCCCGGCAAGGATTTGAACCAGGGCAACCTGCTCACTGAGAGAAAGCAGCTCAACCAACTGTGTCACCGTGTTGTCTTTTTCTTCTTCTTCCTCATTATTATTATTATTATTATTATTATTGTTGTTGTTGTTATTTATTAACCTTTATTTAACCAGGCAAATCCCATTGAGATCACAGATCTCTTTTGCAAGGGAGGCCTGGGCCTGAAGGCAGCCTAACATGCATGTTTTGAACTGTAGGAGGAAACCGGAGTACCCAGAGAAAATCCACGCAAGCACGAGAAGAACATGCAAACTCCACAGAGCAAGACCCCAGGTCCAAACGGGGATTGAACCCAGGACCTTCTTGCTGTGAGGCAACAGTGCTAACCACTGAGCCGTCGTGCTGCCAAACATAATTCAAGTCGAAGTGTTACATACTTTTCAGCCCCCTTTTTGCCATCTGCATTTGATAGCAGGCCAAATTGACAAAGACCATGCAGAATAATATATTTTAATTCCACAGCAGAGAAAGATAGTCTCTGTAAGTAGGTCTAGAGAAAAAAAAGTTATTGGTATCGGTTATCGGCCAAATACGTTTTAACATATCAGCAAATCGGATATCGGCTAAAAATGCAATATCATGCATCCTTAATTTTGTTAAATGAAATTGTTAAAAATAAATAAATTATTGTTGTTGTTGTTGATATTTATGAAGTGAAATGGTTGATTTATTTCTTGTATGGAAATGTAGCTGCAGAAAATTATAAACAAAAAGGTTGTTGTGATCTTTCTGCAGTTAAGACAAAGTCTGGGACTTGGTGTGCTCTTTGAAAGTCACAACACTCTGGCAATCTGTGTTGTGGAAATTTAGAGGATCGTGTATTTTGTTTGCTCAAAAATTTGAGCAGCTCTGGAATCAACGCTTGAAAAGTAAAGTGTGGTAAGTAAAGTAAAATCTGCTTGAGAAAACAGAAGAAGAAAAAGGCAAAACACAATTATAACTTGTCGAAAATATTCTACTTTTTTTTTTTTTAAGCATAACAATTATTTTACAGTAGTTGGAGAAGATGAGTGAGACGGCTGACAGTCAGCACTTTGTTTTCCTGTAGGGGGCAGCATCACAGACCTGCGGGAAATAAAAACAACGAAGAAGAAAAACCGGATGTTTTTAAATTTAGCAGGCTTTAAGGTAAGCTAGCGACCGTAAAGCTTTTTATTTCTCTCGGTTTGGGCGATTTCACTAAAGAAATAGACTTAAATTGTCAATACAGTAAATATCAGCCTTAAATTTTTACAACTTTATTTTTATCACAAAATGAGCCGTACAATGTAAAATACATGACTTAAGGAATGCTGTTGTTTTCACATACACAACTTTGTTCCACTGTAAGCATATAAACACTCAAAATGTACATTTTATTCTCACACATTATGATTATTGTTCTGTTTGTTTAGCGACACAAAAAGAGACAAATTTGGACTTTTTTTGACATTGCTGCCAATTCATTGAGAGTTTTGCATCATATTCAGCGCGTGGAATTTGTTCAAGCATCGAGTCTTGTTTATTTTAGAAAATCAAGTTTTGTTTTGTTTGTTTTTAGAATTCCGGGGGAAAATGCCTAATAGTCCCAAAAAGAGAAAACGAAGTGAGTTGTCTTCGTCTTCAAGGGAAAAAGAAGATGAGAAGAAGGTGAATAAAATTAAATCGTGCTATTTTATTGCTGCTGTGTTTATTTAATGCTCATTTCTGTAAAATAAATTTAGGAATAGTGACAGTGGAAATATTATTTACCTGTAATCTAAAAATGTAAATTCTAGATTAGTGTTTTCAGTAAGTACCTCAATAGTCTTGTTGTTCCCCATCAAGGTTTGTTCACATGCTACTTTAAATTTTTTCAGGAATCAAGGTTTGCAGATGGCTCTTGCAGAAGAAAAAGACACAAGAGAACAGAAAATTTAAAGAGTCCGACAAGGTAAGAAAAGCTTATGTGGATCTGCTGAAAGCATATTTACGTTTGTATTACCAAGCTGAACTCCGCTTGTGTAAAAGCTTGTTTGTTAATAATTAGTGACACTACCATATCTTTACTTGTCTACCATGTAGAACAACAAAGGACCAAAAGAAGTATGTTAAAAAAGATTTAAACAGCCACCGCCACACCCAAAAGCCAACCCGCAGACTGCCAAAAACACCAGCAGAGGAGAAGAAAGCTACTAATAGGGAAAAACAACATAGAAGCACCAGGAGTGTTTCTGTGCATCTTCATGAAAAAAGCTGCCACAAAACAGAAAAAAAACATATTGCTAGTAAACATAAAACCACCAGCAAATCTAAGACTATGGAAAAGGAACACTTAAAACCTTCAAGTACCAGAGATGCAGCTTCTAAGGCCAAAAAGATGTTAGCAGCGAGTACATATAAAATACACTCTCCAAGTTCCTCTGTCACGCTAGAAAAGCTTCAAATGTCTCCCAGCTCAGGGACTGCTGTACAGGAAGCTCAAAAGCATAAAGGACGAATGAGGCATGTTGCAGCTGAGGAACCTTCAAGAACTCGACATGATAACAGCTCTAGAAATACTAAAAAACCTGCCCCCTCTTCCTTTAAGTATTCCCTAAAGCAGGAAAGCATGGAGAAAATAAAAAATGGCTGCAAAAGTCCTCACCCCAAAGATTTACCAGCTAAATGGAGCTTGTTTACAGATGCAAAAGATTCATCTTTCTCTGACAAAAAGCAGTCTTCCTCTTCAGCCAAGCACTGTACTTCAGAAAGTAGTTCAAAGGTGTGGAAAGAAGTCCCCGTGTTGTCTAAGCCGGCGCAGCCATCATCTACTCAGAAGCAAAAACTTTCTCAAAAATTTGTGCCTTTTTATTTTAGGATACCAAAAAAGCCTCAGCCAATATCAGCTCAGAGCACAGATGGAAATGATAATTATATTTCTGCAAAGATAAATCACGGGAACTTATATGAAAAGAAACTTCCAGAGTCTGAGATTTTGAAGAAGAATCTTGAGGTTGAAACTGTTCAGCCTTATAGCTGTTTGGAGGGTTCCTTTAATTCTTCATATGAACGACAAGATAAGGAGTCACCCTCGTCTGTGAAGGCCCTTCCTTCAGGTGATATAAATGTTCAGCAATGTTACAATAAGGTAATGAATTAATTATTTTCCAAGTTATTCTTTCCACTTTTCTATAACAACTAAACAAAGCATTAAACAACTACATAAAAAATATTGTGTTATGATTAATTGAGTATTTACTTAGTTTTTAAATACGTTTCTTCAGGAGCAGGTGGTTGAAGAGCTTCATTTCAATCGCTCTGAGACGAGACTGGAGGTAAATGTTATGCAGAGCTGCGGTGACCTCACCTGTATGGACACAGATTGTTCAGAAGAAAGACCAGCAGACACCATTTGTGAGTTTAATTGTTTTACTGTTAAGATTTAGTGTACAGTAGTCCCTCACTTATCGCGGGGGTTACATTCCTGACACCTCCGCGATAGGTGAAAATCTGCAAAGTAAGGACTTTGTATTTATTTCAGTAGTTATATATATATATATATATATATATATATATATATATATATATATATATATATATATATATATTAAGGCTTTATAAACCCTTCCCACACTCTTGCAATGTTCTTAACAATGTTTGCACTTGATTATTTTAAATAAACAATCTATGCCGCTTAGGCCTGTCATGATAACAAATTTTGCTGGGCGATTAATTGTCTCAGAAATTATTGCGATAAACGATAATATTGTTTGAAATTTGACAATAATTAGTAATTATTGCTAAATTTAAGAAGAAATGTTTGTTAATTTGTTTTGTGTGTAATGACTTTTTTGACCACTAGATGGCAGTATAAGACAGAACTGAAGGATGGATAGTGAGGGAGTGAGCAGCCTGTCTCTAACAAAAATGTGAGGGAGGCCCCTTGACATGACATGGGCCGTCTCTCTTTCCTTTTTTTCGGTTCTCAAAATGGCGGATGCTCAGCGTGGTTTGAGCTCTTTAGTGTAACATTTTTCACACAAAGCTTTTAGAAAAACATCAGTAAACAAGTTCTCAGCTTCTTTTTGCAGTGAAAAACAACTTTTTACACAAAGGCACGGGTTTCAACCATGAATTTTGGATCTTCAACAAGACTGGGGGTTTTTTTCACAGAGGTCGGCCTGTTAGCTTAGCTTGTAGCTTAGCTGCTTTTAACAATCCAAAAACGCCATTTTGGATGGTTAAAACGGATTTTAAAGAGAAAGGGAGGGGTCAGTGAATTGAACCTTTTGTCATCCAGTGTCTTCAGTAGAAAGAGAGAGACACAAAGAAACGAAAAAGCCAATAAATGAAAATGAGGTCGATAATTTTCATTTATTATTCGATTAATTGATTTATTGTTTATTGCCACCAGCCTAATGCTGCTCGTGTGGCTCAGTCAAGTATAAGACAGACCCCCTCCGCCCCTTCCTTTCTATTTCTGTGGGTGTCTGTTGCACATCCGTCTGTTGTGTGCCTCTGGGACACGATGGGGATATACAGACCCCACCCCCCTCCTTTGTCTTTCTCTGCTGTGACTGAAAGCCTCAGAAAAAGAAAGGAGGGGGCGAAGCGGTCAGTCTTACACCTGAGTGAGCTGCGCTCAGCCACTCTCTCTCTCTCTTTTTAAATGTATTCACTCTTATTTTTTCACCTCCCTGATCAGTAGCGATGGGGATATACAGACCCCACCCCCCTCCTTTGTCTTTCTCTGCTGTGACTGAATGCCTCAGAAAAAGAAAGGAGGGGGCGAAGCGGTCAGTCTTACACCTGAGTGAGCTGCGCTCAGCCACTCTCTCTCTTTTTAAACATATTCACTCTTATTTTTCCACCTCCCTGATCAGTAGCAATGGGGAAAGACAGACCCCACCCCTCATCCCATCCTTTTTCTTTCTGAGGCTGTCTGTCATAGCAGAAAAAGAGAAAGGAGAGGGCGGGTGGCGTTGTCTTTCCCCAGTCGTGTCGTGTACAATCTTGCGTTGAAAACCTGCGAAATAGTGAGTCCACGAAAGTTGAACCGTGAAGTATCGAGCGACTACTGTACACAAATAATGTATGAATCCTGGAATTCAGTGTATAAAATCGCAAGAAGCATTTTAAATTCAACAATTTAAAGTTGTGTGTGGTCCTGATGTTTATTGGGATTTTTTTGCAGCCTAAGACAGGTTTCACTTGTCAGAGAGAGTCAGAGTCAGAGAGGTTTATTTGTCATACACATGATACATGAGGTGGGACAAACTATGTACACGGGGTCCCAGTGACATCCAACAAAAACACAAATTGTAAAGAAAAACACTAGTAAGATCCGAGTCATGAACTAAAAATATGCTGCATTCACTAAACTAAGAATACACAAGACTAAGAATACACTAAGCACTAATGGTACAAAAACAATTCGCCAAAACAACAGCAGCACGAACATGAGTCTGAGCAGATGAGGACTAATGAACACAGCAACATGAAATAATCAGCAGCATGAGATCAGCAGCATAGATAGTCAGCAGCAGTCTTTGGATTTAACACAAAAAGTAAGATACAAGAAACATGACAGCAGCTTGTTTTGTGCCTTTGATGCTGTGGTAAATTGTTGGACCAGTTGTTGTACTTTTTATTATAAAAATAACTAATAATGAAATCCTAACAAAAGGAGGAATCCTTTGGTTAATTTAGATTTTTAGCTACATTTTATAGATATTGTACTTCACTTTTATATTTCTAATAAACAAATCAATTTAACCAAGTTGTATTTTATTTTACAGGCCAACAGCCCCACCAGCAAGATCTTATCGTTGTTCTTGACACAAATATTCTTCTCAGTCACCTGGATTACGTGAAAAAGATCAAATCTTGTGGCCTGGGAGGTACTGAAAACCTAATATTACAACTAAAACTGCCATTCTTGTTTATTATGCTTTTCACGTACTGTAGTTCTTGTCTTGTTAATTCACCACTGTTCTTCTTTATGGTCTCTTAGTCTTGGGCTTTCCTGTCGTCCTGATCCCCTGGGTGGTGCTTCAAGAATTGGATTCCTTAAAAAAGGGGAAAGGCCAGATAGGCTCTGTGACCCACCTCGCAGTTCCTGCCATCTCCTACATCTACACAGCTTTGAAGAACGGGGACCTTCACCTGTGGGGGCAGTCCATGCAGCAGGCTGCTGTGAGCTGCAGTGAGTGCTGATTCACTGAAAGTAACAAGACTTGAATCTATAAATGGAGACTGATTGTTTGTCGACTCAGTTTGTTTTTTGAGCCGTAACAGATGTCATAAGTTTATGGTGTACGTAGATATCAAACTTATAAAAAAAGGTCCAAACTTTTTTTTTTATATATATATAAAAAAAAAAAATGCTCCAGACTTAAGTATTTAGCAGCGTCAGCTTTTTTCCTGCTTGTTCTGTGGGTCAAAACCATTTGAGCAGAGCAGTTTGCTGTTTATAATTCATACTGTAAGACCAAAGTATTTTGTTGGAGTCCTGTTTTTTTATACATAATAATAAATTATCTTAAAACATTATAATAAAACAGTGATACAATGTTTTCCCCCCATATATTTTAAACTGGTATTTCAATGAATGAACTCAAGGTGGCACCATCACGTCAGTGTATTTGTAGGATTACTTGTGCAACTCAAGGACAGGTTGCATCCATGTCTGATCAGATTCAAATTTTTGATATTTAATTTATACATTTGTCTCTAGTATCGTACATTATTTATCAATCTGGTAATTGTGTTTCCAGGCAAATACTCATTTAGTGTGTTTGATTTAAAATGAACCAAATCTCCATCTTGTTGCGTTTTTCTTATCTTATATTGACCGGTCCCTCTTTCCTTTTCTTTTAAAGAAAACAAGACATGTCATGCTTTCTTACAGTTTAATATGTGCACCATGTACTTTGTCTTTTTTTAGACTCTTTGGTTTCCCTGAGTCACTCTTATCGTCTTGTCTTTTCCTTTTTTTATGTCCTCAGAAGATTTAAGAACTGAGAATAACGATGACAGAGTGCTGCAGTGCTGCCTGCAATACCAGATTATGTACCCAGGGCGTGCTCTTATCTTATGCACGTGAGTTTCCCCTCCCCCCACTTCAGTGCATACTGTAGTTGCTGCTGCAAAGTGCATGTCCTCTGCTAATAATGCACATGCATGTGACTGAGCCAGATAGTTCCAGTTGGGATGAGAGCAAAGCCAAACCGATTTCTGCAAAGAATAGATGTGCTGAGTGAGGAATTCAGTGTTTGGCTCAGTTTGGTTAGATTTTTTTTACAAGGGTAGAATATTTGTGTGATAAATATTTTACTTGTTTTAAACATCTTTTGACCTAATACTTTAAATATTTGGGTTTCCACACACAGTCTTTGATTGTCAAGCCAAATTGAACTGTATGTGTCTGTAGGATGAGTTGTCTTCCTTTGGCTAATCACTACCACTTAGTTAAATACGTATTTGTTTTATTCTTTTTCTTCTCTAGTAATGATAAAAATCTATGCAGCAAAGCCCACCTGAGCGGTGTGAGGGCGCTCTGTAAGAGTGATTTGGAGGCAGAGGTCAAGAAGGCCAGACATGGCCATTCTATCCTGCAGAACTTCCAGCCTCCAGTCCTGCCTCAGATCTGCCCTGAGGCCTCGTCACCAGTATTGGGCACGAGTTGCACTACAGTCCAGTCACGCAGTCAGGAGAGAGATTGTCCCTTTGTAGTCGTTCCAGACAAAGGTGATTCAAGGATAAATTGCTCTTCATGCAAACAGAACAGAACTTAGTATGTTCCATCATTATGGTGTTGTAATAGCATTCATGTATATAGCATGTCCACCCACCCATTTTGTATTTCCTGTTTTATTTCCTTCCCTTTTAGTCAGTCACTACTGGTTTGAGTAACGGTTTGAGCAAAGGATTAAAATATCAAATCAAATTTAATGTTGGCAGCTTGCATAACTTGAAAGTTGCTTCTTCACACAGTAGGGCCGAAGCTAAAAGTGCAGTTTTAATGAAAAGCCCTTTAATTCCTGTTGTGCTGATGGCGCTGATAAAGGTTCTGCTATCGATTCACGCAGACACACAATTAATTTGTGTATTTTTATGTTTCATTCCTTGCATATTCATATGCCTGCAGATAACAAGTGGCTCAGTGAAACGTACCACAAAGAGACAAAACAGGAACTTACCATAATTCTTTCTGAGCTAGAGGAATGTCTGCAGGAGGTGCTGTCTGATGTCTTAGAGGTGGAGATGAAGGCTGCTTATGACAACTTGTGGCTCGAGGTAGAATTTATATTTCACATAAAGATATAAATCATCTTTTTTGCACCTATTAAGCAGTATGACATAAAAAAAGATCATTTCCATTTGACAGTGATGTGTCATTTATATTTGCTGTTTTTGTTTTGTTTGCAGTATAAATACTAATAATATTTCATTGTGTTACTTTTGTGTTAATAGATAGTTTATTTAAAACCACCCTGGACTCTTCAAGATGTTTTGAAGTGTATGAGAAAGCACTGGATCGCTGTCTTTGGACAGATTGCCCCGCGGTGGATGTGTGATACTGTTTCCAACCTCATCGCATTCTTTAGCTCAGGTATGTCGGCATGTTAGTGGGAAACAGTGAAGCGTTGTTGTGAATTAAACAAGAACAGTAAACAAAAGGGCCCAACATGCTCCATCCGAAGTCGAGCAGTCGACTTGCAGTCATGTGCTTGCAGGACGTTATTATTCGCATATCGTTCATAGTCCATGAGACCGAGACGCAGAGCTCCTGGGAAACCCCTCCCGCTGCAGTAAACGTCGCCGCATGGGCCTGCAACCGCCGTTTTGCCACAACTCTTATCATGAAGAGAGCGCCACACTTTTCAGCAGACCAACTCCTCCATACACGATGTCTGCACGTTCTCCGTCCAGGAGCTTTTCTGGCCATTTGACTAATTTAGCGTGTTTATTTAGACGTGCAGCCGAATGTCCGAGCGCATTTCCGCATTGACAAACACGCCCACAAACTTCTGAGAAGTCACGCAATACTTGGCACAGACATCTGTGCGAAAGAGTTCGACAAAGGCCTTGTGTCGAGAAGGGACGAGCAAAGCTGCTGTGAGAGCAAAATTACGCCATTTTTGTCACGCAACTACGACAGTGAGAGCTGATCTCGGCACTTTGGATGGAGCATGTGGGGCCCTTAAGTTTTCATCTAAAGTTTTCCCCTGATAAGAAAAGTTATACCAGTCAGGTTTGTATCACACTAGTACATAGTGTCTTTTAACCTCCTGTGTTGGTTAATTTGGCACAGACACAGTTGCTAGAAAAATGGATGGACTGATGGTATGGTATGGTATATAGTTTATTCATTTTAAAAAAGTACAAAACAATTCCATAACAATATAAAAAAAGATACAAAAGATTTAAAATGAAAGGCAGCAGAAAGAAGAAAAAATCTTATTATATCTGCCCCTTTTTTCAAACAATTATTTCAATCATAATAATTTTCAAGTAACAGAACAAAATGAATAACTTTCTAATTTTTCTAATTCTAATACAAAACACACACTAAGCTACTTCATATATACTTTTTTAACAATTCAGCTTTGATCTTTTTCTTAAATGTACACATTGACTTGGCATTTGTAACATCACTCTTTAGACCATTCCACAATCCAACTCCTTGGATTGAGGTAGACCTTCCCTTCAGACTAGTTCTGAATTTTGGTTTGACAAATATTTATATCCCCTTAAGATTGTAACAACTTTGTCTTTTAACAAAATTTCTTTGGATATTTAATGGTAATGTGTTATTTTGAGCCCTATACATAACTGATAAAATACTATAATCTACCAAATCATGGAACTTCAATAACTTCAGTTGATAAAATAATGTGCAATGGATGGACTGATGATATTATATTCTCTAAATGAACTCATTGACGCCACTTTCAACTGTTTTAGTTTAAAGAAAAGTACAGCAATAAACATGATAAGCTAAACAGCCAGTGTTTGAAGTCGTTTTCCCACCATAGTATCTTCTATTCAACGAGCTGAGAGGAAACTGAGTTGTTTCAGTTAAAATAAACACAAGTAGAGTTAAATAATAATGTATTTGTCTGCCTGGTGCTGTACTATAACCCTACAGAACTACTTACAGAATCAGGTCATCTGCTAAAGTGGGAGACTGGAATGTGTGTCAGAAAGATGCTGAGTAGCCCACTGCAGCTCTTCCTCGTGGGGTATCGGTGCTGGAACAATTTATTACACCGTCAGCCTGTCTTTCAGGCTCCGTGTCCACCCATGTGTAAGATGACTGCTGCATCAGTGCAACAATAACTTTGATTCACCCAAAAATATTAATAACTTGGAAAAATGCTACATTTCCCTCGCTGTTCCTGATCCCTGGTTCACAAGCATGATCCTGGATCTCTTCAGTACCTCACAGCCTGGCTCTGTGCCAGGAATCTGAGGGTAGGGTTAGAAGGGGGCGGAGTTGGAGGAAGAAAACAAGGAGAGATGAAGTGTGTGTGAGGTGGAAAAGTACTGCTGGTCCACAATGAGTAACTTCTTGTAGCTCCAGTATACTGAAGACTGACTCCACACTGGGAGGGCCTGTAGTTGCTGCTGAAATAAATTATTCATTCAAGTTCATTTGAAAGGAACATATACATTTATAAAGATATATAAAGCAAAACTCTCTTGAGTCTGTTGGAGAGTTTTTGGCAAAAAGGCTAAATTGCAATACTTTGTCTCTACAAAGGTTTTTGGAAAACCAAGAAGTTAAAACTAAATAAAACTAAATTATTATTTTTTTGTAACACTACAAGACATGCAGCAAGTAAATAAGATTCAATAATTAAAAACTGTGTTTACACCTAAAAAAGTTAACTTTTTTAGATTTTTCTACCTGGATTATTGAGCATGCATCAGGATGAGTTTACACCTATTCATTCCAAATAAGTGGGTAAATATGTCTAAATATTAGGCTGGAAAAAAAATGCTCATCATGTAATGTGTGCATGTGATGCACAGGTTTTGAAAGTCTCTTTCAAGACTTCACAAACAGAACATCTAATTTCTGTATCCGTCTTTTAACATTTTTGCTCTTTACGGTTTTCATGGTATTGCACAATCCCTTTCTGGTTATTATTCACACATTTCATGTGATTTTGTGTGCTGCTCAGCACGTTAAGAGGCCGCACGTTGTAAACTCACATCTATAACCTGCAGTAGTAACAGCTGATTGATTCCACTGCATGTTTTTGTGTGTTCCCTCAGGTGTAGCTGTGCACAGTTTGGCAACCTCAGAGGCCCTCCAGGAAGCAAAAGAGCTTGTAAAAGCATTTAGGAAAAGCTCGAAGCATGTTCCCCGAGCCATCACTGTACTGAATAACATTTACAATAAGCTACACTCTCAGGTCAGATGAAGCATAGCTTAGATTTCCACATTTGATCAATTGAAAGAGTCTAAGAGTTGTTTACAATGTGATGACTTAGAAGAAATTGAGATGTCCTTTTTTCCAGATGTAAAAATCTGATGATGAACTAATAGGTTAAAAGGTTTTAGTCAAATAGCAACGGGCTTACTTACACCTTTGCTTATGCTTTTATTGTAGCACACGGTGGCTGCGGAGGAAGAATCTTTTGTCTGTGATGTAATTATGAAAGATGAGGAGGAGGAGGACAAACCACTAATATCTAATCAGGTCTCTCCCCAAGAAGTGTGGGCCATGTTTGAGAAAATCTGGTCTAATCTGATCCAAAAAAGGTGAGTTGAACAAAGACTTTGAAGTGATGTGTCAGAATAAAATTGTAATTAAACAGTAGATAACAGGTTAGGTTCATGTATCTCCTATTGGTTTTCTACTGAGATTTAATTGGATGTGTTAAAAGGATTAAGACGTCTACGTTTCTAGTCTTTACCTTAATCTTTCAGGGCTGTTGCATTAGGACCTTGAGAGGCAGCAAGAATTACAGTGCACAACCTAAATGTTTTTCAAAATGAAAGGGGAAAGAGGTTATTTAGAGTAACTGAAATGTCAATAAATAATTCCTAATAAGTCAGCCTGTACAAAACACCATAGCTGAGCTTATTTTGTTTAGTACTTTTTCCATTATATTGACCCCCAGGGTCATTTTTTTTCTGTCACGTTTCAGATCAGACGTGTTCAGAGCACTCGGCTTTGACACCATGCTGATGGTTACACCGATGGGAGGTCCTGTACCGCCGCAGGACACTTTAGCCTGTTTTCACAATCTGTCCTCTGTGGTCTCACAGCTGCTCCAAGCATTCAGCAGGTATGTTGCCCAACTCGTACAACTGGTTTCTCGCCAAACGTAACAGTATGTTATGCAGTAACGGTAACGATATTTCGCCTTAAGTTTCTTATATTTGACTGTTTGAGCTTAAACTTGCAAGAAGCACCTCCTACAACTTTTCTCAAATCTAACTAAGCTTCTTGTGTAAAAATGAAACTTGCAGAAATTAATAGTCACAACTAGCGATGTCCCCTTTAACACGTTGTTTATCTCTGTCATCCTGAGGGTCTATATTCACTAAACCCTTCAAATGAACAGGACTTTCACAGGTTTGGCTACTTTTTGTCTCCCTCTAAGAAATCCTTCCAAGTTGTCCTCTACCTTTTTGAGCCAGCTGTCCTTCCTGTTTCCTGGTCGCATGGCTCTTAGGACCTTGGCATGCGGGGTTAGCTACGCTGTAATCTGCTTGACCTTGAAACTTTTCTTTATCTCTTTTCCCATGACGCAACAGTGACCAGTGCCCTTTAGCACCGTTTTCTCATCATGCCTCGGTTAATGAAGATGCTAACAGTCGTCTCATTAATGACGTTTTTACTCTCTCTGTTTGGACCACTCATCAACAAGCCAAATGTTTTTAGTTGTTCTAACGTACACTCGTGTGGAAGAAGTTTGCTTGTTAAAACATGTAAAAACAAAAAAAAAATCTGCTCAAGATGTTTGGCTGTTTGTTTGAGCTCGTCTCAGAACTGTTTTGTACTTTTTACAAAACAAGGATTTGGTTTGCAGCACCGGTCACCGACCTGTTAATTATTATTTTCCAGCTATTCCACAATAATTTGCCTAACTGCCATAGCAGGTATGTAGAAACATTAAACCACAACCATTTTTCCACTGATGACTTCTTTGATATTTAACTGCATCATGAAGGACCCCACCCACCCAGCACACACACTTTTTGCCCCACTCCCCTCAGGAAGGAGGTTAAGGAGCATTAAGTGTAGAACCACTAGACTGAGGAACAGCTTCTACCCTGAGGCTGTTAGACTCATGAATCTCTAACTAGAATAATCACTGTGAAAAACCATATCATGTTGCTGCTGATCTGTTTCATGTTGCTGCTGATCTGTTTCAATGTTGATGTGTTCATGCGTGCACATCTGCTCACAGACTCATGTTCATGTTTGTGCTGATGTTCAATGTTTTATGTTATGAGTGCTTAGTGTATATTTAGTTTATGTTTTTCTTAATTCATATCTTAGATGTTATTACTGTTTTTCTTATACATTTTATTGTTGGATGTAACTGGGACCCTGCGTACATAATTTCGCTCCACCACATGTACCACATGAGGTGCGAATGACAATAAAGAAACTCTGACTCTCTGACTCTGAATCATGTGTAGACAAAAATAAGTTAATGATAACTTCAGTGCATTTGACCCAAGAAGTTATTGCAGCCTGTTTTCCATCTTTCCTCATTAATCAGAACTAACTGTCCCCAAAATATTAGTTATATTTTCACCGATAAACAATAATGAAGCTGGACAGCCAGACTTTTAATTTCAAAGTTTCAAGTTTTATTTTAAGTATTCACAATATTCCTTTTTATTAAAATGCTTCTGAAGCATCTTTGCACAGGCCACATTCATTTCTGCGTGCTCCTCTACTGTAAACATGAACGGATCCAGACATAGCTGGTGCCATTTTTATATTCTGAATCAAACCTGGAGTGAGATTTGGGTCTCTGAGGGCAAATATAATAAAATCCTAGTTAAAGGTCGAGGGGGTCAGCAGGGATTCCTCTCTTCTTTTTTTTATCCAAGTCTCATTCTGACCTCCGGCTTTTCAAACCTACAAATGCAATATTAAAGAAAATGTTGTTGTATTTCACATGACAGATGGATAGGTTAATATGTATTATATCTACTTTATACAATGTGTATTTTATTCTTTAATCAAAACACATAATTTCTTCTCGCATTAACAGTCTCAGCTTTTTCTTGATGATCTTTAATATAAACTGATCGTAATTGTTCTGTTGAAATGTTTGTAGGCCTGGTTTAGTTTTTCTTTGTTCTTCCCACTTTTATCAAAGTTGACTCATACAGGAAATGTTTTAGTTTCTTGCCTGGGCAAGTCCGTGTGTCCTTCCTGGATTGTAACAACCACTCTCTCATAGTAGCTCTCCTTGTTACGATCCCCTGCAGACCTTACAAAGACGGTGTCCATGCCAACAATTTCCAGACAACTGGGACATTTATTATTAACACACTTCTTTGAAGGGATGCTTCAGACCGTTTCACTTCAGTTACACTAAGCTGGTGTCTGCGGTAACCCTGTTCTTGTTGCTATCATGGGGTTTGTGCTTTTCACTTGATGCTGGCCCGGCACCAGGGAATTTTATTATATATAGCAGAACAAACGAGTGTTATATGTTTAAAAACCTGATGACTTTAATTGAATAAGAGTTTGAACAAAGCTTGCACCTTCACTGCCATAAACTCTCACACAGGAAATAAACTCCTCATTTCATAAGAGATATAGGCTGGGTGGTGTCAGTTTAGATGGCTGCAGTAGGCCTGTCACAATAAACAATAAATCACTTAATCTTATGATAAATGAAAATTATCGAACTCATTTTCATTTATCGGCTTTATCGTTCGTCGTCGTTCGTTCTTCTCTCTCTTTCTACTGAAGACACCGGATGTCAAAAGGTTCAACTCCGGTGCTCTTCACTGACCCCTCCCTTTCTCTTTTCTCTTTTAGAATCCATTTTATCCGTCCAAAATCACATTTTTGGATCGTTAAAAGCTGCTAAGCTGAGAAGCTAAGCTACAAGCTAAGCTAACAGGCCGACATCGGGAAAAAAAACTCAGACCTGTCGAAGCTCCAAAATTCACAGTTGAAACCTGTACCTTTGTCTAAAAAGTTATTTTCTCTGCAAAAAGAAGCTGAGAACTTGTTTACTGATGTTTTTTTATTAAAAGCTTTGTGTGACAAATGCTATGCTAAAGAGCTCAAACCACACCGAGCATCCGCCATTTTGAGAACCAAAAAAAACAAGTAGGTATCTCTGCAGACAAATACGGAAGGCATATCTGGGGGGCCACATCTGACTGGATGATAAAACAATAGGCGTATCTGGGGGG